CAAAAGAATCAACTTTGTGATTTACTGCTACAATTAATAATTGTCTCAGTAAATGCCCAAACCCTACAGAACTGGTGCCTTCAGAGAGCCACTATGATTACATATTTGGCGTCCCTGATCCGGTTTTCCCTACAACTACAAAACTTTCAACGTGTGTCTTCTTACTTGGATGTTTACATCTTTCCCTTCACGGTGGATTCGAACCCAGTGAAGCTGTCCATCTGCAAAGTTGGTGATTTGGGGGAAAAATATATCTGTCTTCTTTTCTTTGTTCAGTTGATACCAGATTTGTAGGCTTCCTGGAAGAAAAAATACAAGCAGATACATTACCAAGATTTTTGGAAAACTGTTTTAACAAGCTAAACGGTAGTCTGATAGAAACAGATACGGTTATTGATTTATTAGAAAAGAGTGTTATTTATTCTCAAAGAGAATCTTCTGCCATGTAAAAAATGTGATTTATGCTGTAAATGCACAAATACACAGAAGAGCATGAATGTCATAGAGTAGGGGTCCAAATAGTTTTGCATGTTCCTGTGGCTTCCATGTTGTTTTAGTGTGTTCCCACGACTATTTTTTCAGTTGGATAGCTCTGCATCTGAACGCCTTTGACCTGGATTTACTATTCTTCATGAGACTGGATAGCCTGTGATATGACAAGCAGATTTTTTGTTTTTATATATGCACTTCACTTTAATTCATGTTATCGTTTTTCTAATTGTGATCATTTTTCTAAAATTTGAACTTATGTGAAATAATTATTTGGAATCTTACAAGTCTCTTTTAATGAAAATGAATGAGATTTGGTCCTATAACAATCCTTGGAAACATAAATTATTCTGGTCATTGTTCCTTGAATTTTTTGTTTCAGGTCAGCAGTATAATTTTAGTATATTAATAGAAACTTGATGGATTGTATTGTTTTGACAGTGGCATGTCATCATAAAATCAGAAGGCTTGTGGTGCAACCCAGCATTTACATACAGTAACAAAATGACCCCAATGTGATCTTTCTGTGATTACATATACAAATGCATACATAATTAGGAGGATGGTCGAGTGGGAAGCTATAATTAATCACATTTATTGCATCTTTTGCAATAAGTTCTTTGGCCATTAGCATTAGCAAAGTAGTAAGAATAGTGGATAGTAATCATTCAGTGAATATGGCAGTGTAATGTGTAGTAAAGATCTCTCCAATCTTATACTTCCTTATTTTATCAATTACACTGACCATTTTGTTTGTGCCGTCTTACAGAGAATCGAGGACTCTTGTTCCAGAAATTCATCAAAAGTCAAGATTATCATCAAAGTAGAATCACATCAGTAAAAAGCTGTCAGTTATAGACTAATTTGTTTTCAACAGCTCTTGAGCTGTTTTCAGTTTTTAATATTTTTCCTGGAAGCTATCTTCCAGATATCCATTTCCTTAGACACTTTCCCTCATGCCATGCCCATTTTCACATATGATACAATGTTTTTTATATACTGATTTTTCAGAAATTTGTCGGGCATCCAAACATCTGTTTTACAAGCACAGAAACTTATAAAACCATACAAACAATACATGTAAACATTATATTGTAATATAACATTAGATAAAATATATCAACTCATACATATTCATTTCACAGTACTCCTATGGGGATCCACACAACTACATCAAAACTCTGTATATTTACACCCCCATAATTATACTAATCCCACATATTTGCACATTCCCTCTTCATTTTTACATAATCCACTGATTGCACTTGCCCATAAACCATTACTCCTTTTTTGTGAGCTCATATATTGAGTAATTTGAGTTTGGAATAAACAGATTCCTACTAATAAGCTTATGAATTCTAAAACACCGTCTTAAAAGTATGAGTTGATATTCATCATGCAGAACATTGGAGAGATCAGAAGCAATACTAACAGCTAGTCTCAACATACTGTGCAGTTTGAAAGCTCTGCTCAACTAGCTGTCCCACTTAGAACACAGCCTCAAGAATCTGGACATCTTTGCTTTTTGTTGCACAGAAAAACTGTTATACCACATGAATATTTCATATTGACTCTTAGTTTCTCAAACTTGAAATGTATATGTTTCTTTGTACATAGACTTGTCACTTAACATAGTTATATAATTTTGTACTTGTAGTGTGTGCAGGCTTAGACACTGGGGACACACAAGTTTGTGTGGGTATTTATAATTGCTAGATTGTAACAAAAATATGAAAAGGTTCATATATGTTTTTGGAAAATCAAAGTATGGGATGAGGTAATGGCAATTTTGGTCAGGTGGCAGCAATTTTGGTATGCAGCTCTCACCAGTCAGTATCTTCAATAAATATCTTTCATAGTTCATCCCTGTTCAAACATCTGTCATACAAATTTTATTTATGTTTACTGTAGTTATTCATTATGTCTAGATAAAAAGAGCAATACTAATCTTGGGACCAAGTAAATATTTATTCCATGCTGAAAAGAGAAGAAAAACACAACATTTCAGCTGTGGGGCCTTCTTCAGGTAAAATGCAACTTGAAATGCTAATTGTAGTTGCTTAAAGACATCCTTGGAACTCACAAAACTAGTTTAGCATTGTAATGTACTCTACAAGACTAAAATACATCTTATTATGCATTAGGCATATGTAATGCTCTTATGTCCATTGTTAGGTGAAGCTATTTTTAAAAACTAATCCATTACAGTTACATGTTTTTTGAATGAGGAATTACTTTAAAAATTAACTAGAAGTTGGGTAAAATAAAATGTCATCAGTTTAAACAATCTATGTATGATATGTATAGTTATGATTTTAAACAAAACATATTTTTCTTCCAATTGACAGCATATTACCCTGGATGACCCTGATTTCTGATTCATTTAAAAAGCAATTCACAACACAATAAAACATTCTTTTTAAAAGTAACTTTCCAAAACATAGCTTATGACATTATTCAATCAAGATGCACTATCAATCAAAGGTGGATAATTACCAACAAATAAATTCAAAATATTATGTGACTTCCACACACTGCATTGTTGGCACATAACATGGTATTCCCATCAAGAGATATTATATCTCCGGGATCACACCCTCTTGTAAAATCTTCTCCGTGCAGGGCTAAATAGGTTCAGTTCCTTCATTCAATTAATGTGGCCCTTATACGGTATTGTGGCCTGTACCATCAAAACTCCAGCTCTGATTCAGGCCATTTCTGCAACACAACGTGAATGGCACCACTCCTCATATCTGTGGAAAACTTTGTCTAGAAACTTGTCAGAACAGATTGGACTGTTGTTTGTTGTTTCACTTCTTTTTTTGCTGCTTTGTCCTTGTTCTGTTTCTGTTGGAATCTCTTCATGTCATCATACAACATACCCTATGCCAATTATTCAGCACCAAACCAAATGTTGGTGATTGGGGTACTGGTAATGGAGCAAAGGGATCTGAAGTGTACTGTATATATAGGGTTAGAATGCCAGAAACACTCCAGTATACAACAAACACTCCAGTCACAGACAGAGAGAAATAATTCAGGGTTCATATTCTTCAGGAGTGTATTGGCTTCAGTTGTCGCTGAGCTGATTTCGAAATTTAAAAGATGGTAGCTCACAAAGAAACATGTCTAATCTAAATGAAGGGCTAGATCAGTATAGTCTCATGGTGAGTCCTTGAGCAGTGTAAACTACTTTGATGAAACTAACAAGTTTCTTCAAAGCTTAAACATGATCTGTATAAACTGTTTACTTCCGATTGCAAACTAACAAGTTTTGTCGAAGCTTAAAATAATTTATCTGTATACTGACAGTGTGTTAGGGTCATAAGTATTGCAGGTTAAATACCTGTCCCTGGCAAAAAAAAAAATAACCTATTTTCATGAGCATCTGAAAATTGAGCATCAAGAAAAACATTTCCTAGATACTGTGACAATTATGGCAATATTAGCTTTTTTCATAGTACAAAAACATATTTGAATCCAGGTAGTGTATTAATTAAATGCTTCTAACTATTTATAGCCAACACACTCTATTTTTAACCTGTGTATGTTTGTTACATTGCTCAAAGAAAAGGAGGAAAGAGGACAATCATATTACAGATCATAATGTATTTGTTGCTTGTTCATGTGTTTAGTTACACTCTATCATAAATATTATTCTAACATTTTAAATATTTTTTCATTGCCTTATATGCTTGTGAATTTATGTACACAGATATATTTGAAAAAAAAAACATTGCACTTTAAATACTGTTACCCTCAATTTCTGACTCTTGGAACATTATAAATAAAATAATTAAAAGCTAATTATATTATTAAATATATTGTATAGGAAGCCAAAAATACCTAGGCCTTTTTCAAGACCACCCAACCCAACAATGCACTCCATTGTGTGCTGCCATATAAAAATGCAATATAAAAATTTAAAAATATGTCTGTACCACCTTTTACAAACCACATTAGGTTTAAGCATTCAGCAGTCTAAAAACAGGAATTTTAAATCTGTACCAGGTTTAGATTTACTGAAATACAGCATAAGTCAAATAAGATACTGCTCAGTCATGTTAAAACAAATACTTTATGCCACTGTTATTTCACCTGTTTACCATGGTTTACATTTTAGTGTCAGTAGAATTCTAGAATTATCTGTTGCTAACAGTGGAAGCTTAATATAAGTGGTATTACTTACACCAGTTTTAAATCCTATTTAATTATCATGTAGTAACTCTGATAATTTGCTAACAAACATCTATCCTGTTAGAAAAAAGTTTACCATTCTGGGCTAAAATGATAGCCATGTACTGTTGATAATAAGTGCTGATAGTGAACAGCATAGCTGGGGTACGTGTCGTCAGGAAGCTGAAGGCAATATTCTCCCTCGATTTGCTTATCTCAGCGTAGACAGCAGAAGACTGGCCACTTTTGTTTTGTACAACAGAGAAAGGTTCCTGGAACATATAGGTCACTGAGGAGCCAGCTTCAAAGAAGACAGATACTTCTGCAAGAAAACAAATGCTTGTTAGAGAATTTTATATTACTTAAGTCACATACAGTACAAGTCAGAGTCTTCTGATGATTCTGTTTTAAACATGGGGTAATGCTAAAAAACAGTGTTTCAAAGGAAATAATTAACACATATGTTAGCTTACAGAAAACAGAGAAGAGTAATTAAATGCAGATTATATGTAATATACTGTATATGTGATTTAAAGATTAAAAGATTACAGAATTCTTCAAGCCCATAGTTTCTCATTTCACCTAAGACAGCCATGATCACACTGATCTCTCTGTCTCTTTTCTCAAAGAAGGGTTTCACAAGTCCCATTGCAGAAAAACAACAGGAACGAAACTCATCCTGAAACTAGGTTCACACCACCCCCCTTCTGTCAATGACCGACTTTTTTTGTGTAAATCTTCTCTGTTCTCATACAGGTTTTGACTTCACACCTTTCTTCACCCCCCTCTACTTTGCACTTTCTTAGTTGCCTCTCTGCCTCTCTGCCCCTCCCGCCTCCTCCCGTCTCCCAGCTTTTGTTCTTCTGTGCTATTTAATCATCTTTGCTGTATCCCCTGTCTTTCTCAGACCTGAAGAAGGCTTCACAGCTGAAACATTGTGTTTTCTCTCTTCTCTTTTTAGCATGGAATAAACCTATTACTTGTTCCTTTGCAGACTACGCATGCTGACGCAGCTACCCACCTGAACTATATACATAAAAAAACTGAACTAATTTTTGGGAAGTTCACAGAAATAAAATAATAAAATACCATAACAAACTAAAGTGATTACAGAAATTAATCATGGTTCAACACACCTGGAGATAACAAGATGCTTGTAATTTCCATAAACCTTCTCTTGAATCCCTTTCTAGATCTTTAATGGGATGCTATTCTACAGAGTATCACACACCAACTACAACTACAACTGGCATTCCTAGAAAAGTTTGGAATAATTTACCTTTAATTATCCCTTTTCCAACATTCATCCTTCCAACAGTGTTGTCTTTGATTTATTTCGCATCACAATAACCTCCTCCAGTAAAGTTCTTTTATCCTGATTATAGTTTTTTCATAAAATACAAGCAGATAACCCCTGCAATACTCTATCCTATCCAAAGATCTGTTTCCTAATAAAAATATTTTAAAAAGCAGAGCAAACCCCACTCTAAATATCTTCCTTTTATAGATGAAATCTTAACCATCTGATTTACATAAAATCACACACAATCACATTTTAGCACAAAATGGATATTATTCCCTTCTCATTTATATTCTTTTCAGCATGGAATAAACCCGTTGCCTGTTTCTTTGCAGCCTATGCATGCTGACACAGCTACCTACTTGAACTACTACTACTTATTATTGTAATGCAACGGGGGCTCAGACGGGCGCCCTTGCCGCATCTGGTCGGCCCCATCCCGACTGGGGGCTCGAACCCGGGACTTCCGCGTCTCTCTGCAGCGACCTAGCCCCGTGAGCTAAAGAGGGTTCGAGCCTCCTGTCGGGATGGGGCCGACCAGATGCGGCAAGGGCGCCCGCCGGAGCCCCCGTTGCGTTACATTGGTGTTAGAAGTGGGATGGGAAAGTCCTTCGCCGGGGACGGCGATTTAAGCGGGGGAGAGTGTAACGCTTACGGCCGACAAGCACTGTGTGTAAGAGCCGGCGTACCAGAGCAGGTGACGTCACCGCCCTTCCCTGTGATAGCAGGACCACAGCTACTGGGCTGTGGAGAGATCTCTCTTTAGCTCACGGGGCTAGGTTACTGCAGAGAGACGCGGAAGTCCCGGGTTCGAGCCTCCAGTCGGGATGGGGCCGACCAGATGCGGCAAGGGCGCCTGCCTGAGCCCCCGTTGCGTTACATTATTATTATTAGTAGTAGTAGTGTTGTAATGCACATAGTCTAAAGAATCTCCTTGTAACTTGACTTTTTCTTAATGATTTCTGTTAAGCTATTGTACTGTGCTTTAAATAGAAAATCCTCCCAGGGTACAAACAGATGCAACAATATTGATGCTGAAATTTGAATGTTGCTAAACTAAATAGCATGTTGTAAACAGCTCGTTAGCATGATAATTGTTTAACTTGAGAGTCTTCATGACAACCCTTTTGGAATAACTCATCAAGTATTAAGCTAAGAAATGAATATAATATTTTATGTCATCTTATAACCATTTGCTATTACTATTTCCGTAAAAGAAATACACCTAGCACTTTAAAGCAACTTATTTGAAGACCTTCACTTCTAGTTTGATAGAATGCAAACAACAAAGAAATACTTTAGCATTAAGATGACAAAATCCCTAAAAACACTACAAGAAATAATTTCTAAATATAAAAATAAAATTAATTACCTCTGAGATACTGTACATAATTTTTGCCAGAATGTGCTGTTCTATATATTCTATATAATACATACAGTAATTGCCATATGCAGTTCCTGACAACATTTTGCTGATTTTATCATCTTTAGTGGAATGTTTACAGTACTTAAGGATGCAGTCATTTGTTGAAAGAAACAAATCTCCTTTGTTGATGTTGTTCTATGCATGTTATATTTTTAAGATTTTTTAAAGTTAATGTAATTTTTTTAGATACAGGAATTTCTCATTTTAGGAAATTATGGCAAATATTTCTGAAGTTTGCTTTACACTTTAAAAATGGGTTTTAGAGATAAAATAATTCTTAGGGGTTTCCAAAACAGAGTTGTGCAATTAAAACTATGTTTTCAGGCCCATAGTATTAGCTACCAAAATATATAAATGAAGGGGAAAGGGGAAATATAAACTTTAAGCCAATTCAATTATTATGTAAGAATATACTGAATAAGGAAAATGGTACATGACTAATATACAAATTCATTTTATCAGTTCATTATACAATAATTACAAAGGAATAACTAAATCTAAGAACATGGCCATATACGTAGATTTGAAATTTATATATAACAAGATTGTGGACTTTGTCAAACATAATGCATAAACGTGCACTCATTTTGGAAGTAAGAGCTTCAGAAATAAATTCCTATGTTCATGTTCATTTTGCATCTGTTCCCCATGGGAAGATTGTAGAGCAAGTAGTACAGGTTCATAGATATCAGTGTAAGAGAAATACTTTGCTACAGTATGTAGCAATAATGTAAATTTCCCAGTGATTCCTAGATTATACTTTAATACTTAAAGATAATACCTCACCAAGTGCAATTTTATTACATTCCAGGTGGAAATGACCTTTGAGGGCCAGGGTTTTTTTAATCAAGGTTTACATTTTTTAGCTAGAATCTGATCTCCAAGACTGGTCAGAGCAACGTCGTCTTGCCTAGTGCTTCTTCCTTCTTCTCTTTTTCATTTCCTTTCAATGTCCTCTGTCCCTCTCTCCTGTGTTTTCTTATGTTGTCTTTCTATTTAATGATTATTCTTTATTATGACTAACCAGAATAATTCACCAGAAGACTTCAATCCTCTACTTTTTTATTCAGCTTGGTAAACACCTTGATGTCTACTATTTGTTTTTTCTTTACTTTTCTGACCTATTAATTCATAACTTTATTAAGTTATGACATCAATTCAACTAGGTCAAAGATTGTTTTCTTGTGTTTCTTTAAACCACAGGCACCTGAAGAATAGTTGTTTAATGTGTACCATTAAGCTGATAATGAACTCGTTTAGGCAATTAAAAAAATGGAGTAGGCTTTTGAGACGATCATTTCTCTTTCTTTGGTTCAATAATTTTGTTTGGACATAATTTATTTCCAGATGGTGATTTTTTTAAAGCTATTATAAAGTACTCCCTTGAGGATAGCTTGATTTAAATATATCAGGTCTAACAATGACATGTCAGTCTCTAATCACCATCGTCACCAAATTAGCTTTACTACTTGAACTCAAACACCTCCCTTTGCATTTGTCTCAAGCATTCCTCCTCCGCTACATTTCCGCCTTGTACCTATGCCATGGTTCACAGAGTCTCCAAACTTTTCTCACCAAGTATACAAGCATTCAGAAAGCATTCAATCCTTGAGTGTTGTTGTCCCTAGTGAAATAAAATTATGACAAACACACTCATATTAGAAAATGCATCCATAATAATAATAAACGTTATTTTATAAAGCGCCTTTAAAGGTGGCTTCTCAAAGCGCTTTACAGAATGAAAACAACAATAAATGAATAGAATACATAATTACAATATACAGAGGAGACTGTGGATGGTGGTACTAAGAAAAGCAGAAGAGTGAAGAATGGAACCAGTTAAGTAAATTCTCTTCTAAAAAAGAAGGTTTTGAGTCTGGATTTGAAGGAGTTTAGAGAAGGTGACTCTCTGATATCCTTGGACAGAGAGTTCCGGAGCTTGGGGACAGGAGAAGGCCCTGTCACCTATACAATGTAGATGGGCTTTGGGGAGAGCTTTTCAGTTAGGAGACCAGAATTAAAAGAGCGAAGGTTGAGAGGCGGGGAGTAGGGCGATAATAGTTCAGAAAGGTACTGAGGTGCCAAGCCATGCAGAGCCTTATAAGTGAGCATGAGGATTTTAAAGTCAACACGGAATTTGACAGGAAGCCAGTGTAAGGACTCCAGGATAGGAGTAATGTGATCACTTGCACTAGGCCTGGTCAGGATTCTGGCTGCTGAATTTTGGATATACTGCAGTTTGTAGTATCAAAGTAGATTTAGATACTATAATCACATAGTTGAACATTCCAAAATAGGTAATGTATGTGAAAATACATGGATGTGTTTCTTGTTGTTGTTCTGTCCTTAGGCAGAGCCTCTAAGTAATATAGTAGGAACATCTTAATGTCTTGAATTATCTTGCAAAATAAAGTTAGCACAGGACTGGTTCAGGGCTTGAATTCAAGGTAATCACATGCGTATCAAGTCTTATTTTTGAGATAGTTCAGGTGGGTAGCTGCGTCAGCATGTGTAGGCTGCAAAGGAACAAGTAATAGGTTTATTCCATGCTGAAAAGAGAAGAAAGCACAACGTTTCAGCCGTTGAGCCTTCTTCATCTCAATATTTTTTAGATGTCTTACTCAGTATACTTAGTATTTGCCAAAAGACATATCACCCTGCAGTGCACAACTGGCAACTTACTGAAACTAAGCAGGTGTGAGCCTGGCCAGTACCTGGATAAGAGACCTCCTGGGGAAAAACCTGGGAAAAAAAGGTTGCTGCTGGAAGAGGTATTAGAGGGGCCAGTAGGGGATGCTCATGCTGTGGTCTGTGAGGGTTCTAATGCCTTAGTATAGTGACAGGGACAGTATACTGTGAAAAAAGCACCATCCTTCTGATGAGACATAAAACTGAGGTCCTGACTCCCTGTGGTCATTAAAAATCCCAGAGCGTTTCTTGAAAAGAGTGGGGGTGTTACCCAGTGTACTGGCCAAATGTCCTATTTGTCTTTACCAATCATGGCCTCCTAATAATCCCCATCTATGAATTGGCTTCATCACTCTGTTTCTACTCCCCATTGATAACTGATATGTGGTGAGCATGCTGGCGCACTCTGGTTGCTGTTGCATCATCCAGGTGCATTCTGCACATCAGCGGAGATGGAGAGGAGTCCCCATCACCTGTAAAGTGCTTTGAGTACAATGTCCAGTATACTACTGTATGTAAGTGTAAGGAGTTATTAATTATTAATAATATACAAAAAAAAACCAACAAACTCATTTAATTTTCTTGCTTCCAAAGTCATTTTTTCAAGTTGTAGAACTTGTAGGATCCCACTGTTTTTAAGGCCTTCTCCTTTTATTTACTACTTTGGATAAAGATCTGAGACTGGAAAAATTCTGTGTGAGCTTTTATAAAGACAGGTCCTGACATGGTTTTCTTAGCCATTTTTACGGCCCGAAGGGTTTCGGGGTAAAGGGGTGTAACGTTTAGGATAATTTTTGGATGCAGGTGGGTTCTGGTGAGGGACTTAGGAAGCATGATAACAAGGGTTGGTGCAAAAAGTGATTATTTTAAGGTGAATAAGTGACTGGCACGTAATAAGACACAATAACACACAGGGGTAGAGAAGTAGAGTGGTGCCAAAGTAAAGAAAACAACAAAAAAAATGAGACTGGCTAAGAAAGTGAGGGAAGTTGACCTAACTACAAAATAAAACCTGAAACACACGGTATTCTGCGTGTTCAAATGCCCTAGCTAACCTTCACTGACTACCCCAAACCATACAAATGGCACTCACCCGTACTAACTAGTGTTACTAATACAAAACCAACTAAGTGTGTAGAATGTACCCAACAACCTAAACTAACCCTATACAGAAAAGTTTACACAAATACACAAGTGAACTATGAAAGAGAGTAGACAAGTAACCAGGTACAAAAGAACACAGAGGTTGAACATATAATACGTTAGGGCAAGGTAATGGCAAAACAAGGATAAACACAGAAACAAACTAAAATACACAGAGACGAACACGAACCAACAAAAGCCGAAGCTACACAAGAACACACATTAACAAAGCAAAGCAGAAGCTAAAACCAAAAGCGAAACAAAACCAAAGCCAAGCGGGACCAAAGTCAAATGAAAGGCCCCTTCATTCAGATAACCTTCAAGTTATATACTAAATAAGAGTTCTGATTGGCCGAGAAGCTGATGATGAAGATGTCATATAGAAACAATGGTCTAATGATGGACCACTGGGGGAGGGAGAACAATCAAAGTCAGGAAGTGTGAAACATAGCAACAAAAACACAAATGGACCACAGACTGGGATGTAATAGCCATCTAAAAATAAATTTAAATTAAAAAAGATTGAAAAGAATCAAAGTTCCATTATTATTTAGATAGAGTCAATGCTAGAGAGACTATCATGGTTAGGCTGTGAAAAAGATAATACAGTGATTATGATAGTTGATCTTCACTTGATTGACAGGCTGACAAATTAAAGAATTAAAGCAAATGTAAAAATAGCATTCACTGTAGACACCTTTAAACCTCCCCCAATTCTTAAAATGTCAGATTTCACTGATTGACAGCTAGTTTCACCTATCTGGACAGCAAAAAGCTAAATGTGCACAGTTTAAATTTAGTATAAGGACCCCTGTTTTCTCATTCTTCTGTTTTGATTTCCAGCAAGATTTTTGGGGGGTTACAATTCATTGAACATTTATTTCTATAAAAATGACAAATTAGTGATATGTGGATTAGAACATAATTTATTCAATGTCATCTGAAAAATGGTCTTGAATAAGATGATTATGTTGCTGAATTAGGATATGAAATAATAACAGAGAGGTTGTCTTTTTTCTAATGATATACAGATCTAACTATTCAGAATGGATGACAAAAAATGTTCCTTAATGCAGTATACATGGCATGCTCCAATGTGTTTATTGGATGTGGAAGAGGTGTCAGGGGGCACTCACCCTGTGGTCCATGTGGGTCCTAATGCCCCAGTATAGCGATGGGGACACTATACTGTAAACAGGCGCCGTCCTTCAGGTGAAACTTAAAACCGAGGTCCTGACTCTTTGTGGTCATTAAACATCCCAATGCGTTTCTCGAAAAGAGTAAGGGTGTAACCCCGGCATCCTGGCCAAATTTCCCATTGGTCCTTACCAATTATGGCCTCCTAATAATCCCCGTCTATGAATTGGCTTCATTACTCTGCTCTCCTCCCCACTGATAGCTGATGTGTGGTGAGCGTTCTGGCACACTATGGCTGCCGTCGCATCATCCAGGTGGATGCTGCACATTGGTGAAGGTGGAGGGGAGTCCCCATTACATGTAAAGCGCTTTGAGTGGCGTGTCCAGAAAAGTGCCACTCAAAGTGTAAGCAATTATTATTATTATTATTATTATTATTATTATTATAAATATTCTGTTGCAGGACTGCACTACTTTGTGAAACCTCCAGGTGGCACAGTGAAAAACCAGACACCTAGAAGGTCTGTTTTTTAATCCTGGTCAATGCATAGCCCCCTAGGGACATTTTTTTTTCCAATTATAGAATTTAGTTTATAAACTATTAATGACTTTTATTAATTGTATATTGTATATTGCAGTATGTTGTATTAAAAAAGAAAGCAGGGTTGATTTACAAACAAAATTACTCTGCTGGATATATAAAATAATAGTTTGTTATTATAGCTTGTTGTGAACAGGATGTGCTTTTTTCAGGCTTAAAATAATGTATGTCTTAATGCTGATTTCAGCAACAAGCAATTAGGAAAATAGTTTACTTTAGATGTGAAAACACTATGGCTTAACCTGTGAGTAATACTATGCTCAAACAACAACACACATGCATGACTCGGAATATTAGGCGATAAACAGTAGAATCACAATTATATTTGCCATTGCATTCCCAGTTACAACAGATACAAATTTTAAAAAAATCTAAAATCTCTTTAAAAAGAAGTTATTAACCCTACTGTATTTCACACCTGCATATGAGATCTTATTTCTTTTTATTATACTGAGGGTATGAAGATTCAGTGAGCACCAGGGAACTATTTAACATGGTATGATTACTCAGCCGGATAGCTTTAGTAAATCTGCTGACAAAAGTTTTGGTTTCACTAGGCAAGATCAATTTGTATCCAGTTGGGAATTAGCTACATGAAGCTTGCCCCTCTACAAACCGCACAAACAATGAAAACTGATATTACTGATATTAAGGAACAGGTAACGGGTTTATTCCACGCTGAAAAGAAAAAAAAGGAAACACGTTTCAGCTATGGAGCCTTCTTCAGGTGTGAGGGTATTTGCAGCCTACTTTAATTACTGATATTATGATTGTTTGTGGAGAAAGTGAAACCAAACAAACCAGAAATCTTATATGATATTAATAAAAAAGGTTAATATAAACTTTACACAAAAATACTGAGAAACATACCAAAAACAGCATATTACAAATCACTTTTTTTTTTCTTCTGAAAAAGCATCTCTGGTGCTCATTGAATCTTTACACCCTACTGTAAGTTACCTAAACACGGAAGTAATTAACCCTTTTATCTTTCAACCACCTCTGATATAAGGGTGTGCCCAGCAGGTGTGAGATTAAAAGGTTTAATACCTTTTGGTTTAAAATATTTTACCTTTGTTTTAGAATTGGAATCAAATGAAACTGTTAAGACAATGGAAAATACACTGTAATTTAAAATCTACATTTATTCTGTTTGTCAACAAATATTGTGAGTCGTAAATGTGTGTTGTACCAGTGATGTAGCTGGGTGTATACTATTACTAAACAGGTGCAGTCTTAACATTTCTACGATTAAAAAAATATGCAGCTGCTGTGTTGACTTAGGCTCATTTCATTACATTCATGTGCAAACCCAGACAGAGAAATGTTTATTTCTAATGTGGTTGTTGACTATGATTTCATATAGTAGATTGGAATATCTTGATTCTTGATTTTGAATCTTTATTTATTCACACCTGTTGGCTGATTCTACAAATATCAGAATTCCCTGACAGCAGGGAATATTTCTATAGATAAAAAGACAATGAAAAAAGATTCTGTTAACTGATCTTTTTCAGTTATCTACCTTTTTTGCAGAAAGGTCCTTCATAAGCAGACTGGGTGCAGTCACAGGAGTAGCCATTTTTTTTCTCAATGCACTTTCCTCTGTTGTGGCAACGGCTGCCATAGCTACTGCAATAGCCAGGGCAACCTGAACTGACCCCTGGAATCATTCTTGCCCTCTCCTCAAGATCTAGGGTTAAACCATTCAGAGTCAATGCACGAATGCATCCTAAAAATCCCTTTTGTCTTGATGGTGTTCCTCCTGTAAGAAAGAAATGGAATATACTTCTCATATCCAGAAAAATCTAAAATGGATGAATGAATATTTAAAACAAATGATAAAATATAAAATTGAAGGAGGAGTATGCCAAACCTAAGATCTGAGGTTATATATAGCATAAAACTTGCAGGTATGCAAAGATAATGAGTGAATCTAATGATTGCAGTAATATATATATAGTTTCTATGTACAATGTAAATTATATAGAATTTATTTAATATACATATCTAAATAAATATTCAAGCGAATATATTTGCAAATGTTGCGCTAAATTTGTTCAGGTGCAAAAGAACATTTTAAAGTTCACAAAATTCTTGCAGTTCTCTTTGTGTATAATCAAAGTTTTAATTTGACTTCAAAATAAATGCATCTATCTCTGTAAATTGAATTTCAAGCCACAACTTACATATGGATATGAAAAAAATTACCATGAAGTCCAAGAAGCTAGTAAAACACTTCAAAGATAACATATTTTTTCTACTGAGTACAATTAAGTCCATCGTTAAGAAGTATAAGATATACTGTATTACACCACTCAGACACTATCTAGATCAAGCCACATTTTGAAACTGAGCACAAGCATTTAGGAAAGTGTTTAGGATTCCACTGTTAAGCACAGTGACTTTGAAAGATTTGTCAAGTTGTAAATCTGAGATGGGAGTCACTTTTTACACGTTGACAATATCTAAGTCAAGTCTCTACAAAAAGTTGACATAGAAGAAAGAAGCCTCTGCTAATTAAGTCTTAAGTCTCATATGAAATTTACTACAGACATTCTACTACAGAAGAATTTTATTGTCAATCAAGAAAATAATATTTTTTATTCTGAATGCAAACTCTGGTACATTATCCAATCGGCAACATCATAAATGCCAAGCACCTTATTATAAAGCTGTTTCTCTCAAGCAGAGACTGGGATAATTGTCATGATTGTGGGGAAAATTGATTGTGTAAAATAAAGGGAAATCCTAATGGAAAACCTGCTCGAGCCACCCAAGAATCTTAAACTGTTAGAATATTTACAGATCAGTAGATCTGTGAGCTGAAACCCAAGGTAAAGGCCTCACAGACAGGGCATACAAGAAGAGTCTCATGTTGCAGTCAAAGTCCTAATTTAAATCAAGTAGAATATAGGCGGTGAGTCATGACAAACTGCAGTGCAACTAACACCTTGTCATAAGTTGAGCAAGTGTCAGACACAATTGCTCCCAAAAAATGCCCAAAGATGGTAGAAACCTGTAAAAAATATCGACAGCTGTAATTTCAACAAAAGGAGTTTCGACCAAGTACTGATTTGGTTGGCCAAATATATACCGTATGCAAACAGTATTTTGTTTTACTTGGCACATCTTCTTAGTTTTGCAGAATAGCAGTTTCCTACACAAATAACAGTGTTCACTTTACTTTGAGCACAGTTCAAAACTTTGCAAAAGAGCATACTGTTATAAAATGTGATACTATTAGCAGTAGGTAAATTCTCCTGCAAGAAAATGCACACATGTGTATAATTTACTAACAAAAAGGTTTCAACTTGTGCTTGATGTAAATAAATTGAAAGAAATTATAAGGATAACAAAAATACAGTGAAATTGAAACAGTGAAACAAATGTTGACAAATATCCTTTCTGTGAAAAAGCCACTACAGAGCTGAAACAGAAGTCTATAAATTAAATCAGATATCAGAATATATACATTCAACCTCTTACTACAATACCTCTTCAACTAAATAGGGATTTGTGCTTATTTAACCTTAAAAGTCTGACATTATAACTGCCTCCTCTGGAGACAAACCATTTTGTGAGTGCTTACCTACGAACAACTGGCTGCTGAGTTGTAGGCGGAAATGTCCTTCAGATGCAGCCTCATGAAATCGGATGGGCAACTGGTTGACCTGTAGCAAGGCCTCTTTAATGTTGCGCTCAACTCTTACATAGTGCCACTGCTTGTCATTTAAAGGGACAGATGATGTCACAACAAGGTCAACAGGGCCATTTCCCACATCAAAAGAGAACACCACTGTTGAAGGTGCTGTTAATTGAACCAAAAAAAGAATTCATGTCCCAGCAAACCACAGTTACAGTTTCAGTAGATATATAAGGTACTGTTTGTAATTTATTTTGGTGTATATAGTAGATCTTTTCAAATTACAAAATATAATTCAAATATAATATGATTATTTATAGACAATAGATTATTAAAAAGGATCTCAGATAAATGAATGATAAATATTTTAGGAAGATAAGACGGTTACAAATTAGAAGTTATTTTATTTGTGTTTTGCTTGTTTGATTGCAAGAAGCCTTAGAATTTTCAAAACAGTCAAACTGTCTCTTGAGGAAACTTCTTAAAGTGTCAGTTTCAATGAATTAATTGGGTACTTTATTCCAGACCCCAGTGATTCTTCGTGAGAAGCAGTGCTTCCTGTTTTCGGTACTAAATACAGTACATCTCTCAGTGTTAATTTAAGACCCCATGTACTTGGATCATTGTTGAACCTAAATGTAGAGGATGAATTTTATCAATATCTTTAAAACTGATGAAATTCTGAGTCAAATGCCCTTGCAAAATTAAACATGTAATTTTCCTTTTAAGCAAGTTGGATATTTGATTAATATACTGCCCATACACATTCAGCAATCTTGAATGTGCCAGGTATTAGTTAGTATACCACTGAAGAACCACAGTATCACGGACAGCATTTTTATTTTTTTCAAATACTTTGATGCAGAAATGCAATTCTGTAAAACTTCCAGGTGGCATATTGCATCCTTAAAGTACCACAGCTGCATATGATTGTTAGATAAATCAGTACTGTCTTAAATGTTAATTAATCCAATAGTGCTTTCATGGATATACTGTGTGCATACTGCATGTGAAAAAAAATAATCAAATGAAATTGTAGTGAATAGTGAAAAACAATTTCATGAAATACAATGATTACATTTTTTAAAGAAGATCTTGTGACAACATTGCCACAATGTTGCCATAATGTACTGTACAGTATGTCACAATACCGTGTAACACTAATATCATCACACTCGTCCAGGGCACTCCATTTAATAGAATAACTATTTTTTTTAATTGCATGCAGTATACACATATTAGTAATTTTATTTACTGTACATAGTATTTAGAAAACTGTTTTTTTTAATTCTGATTATTAAATATATTATACATAATGGATTTCATACACAAAAACACAAGCGGGGCCAGATTAAAATATGTTTTGAGTAGTTATTTAAATTACTTTGTCAGTTGCATACTATAAATTGCATTGTGGATGATAAAAGTCTGCACTGATCAATATATTTAAATGGGTAATATTGTAATTTGCCATTGAGGTACAGTATGCCATGCTCTAACCATTTATTTAATATAATTTTAATGATCACTAGCAAAACAGTGGTGTAAGTAATAGCATCTTGATGAAGGCAGTTTGCAAGAATGATGCTAATACTACTGTATATCATGGATGATATACAGTATGAATATCTGTGGATTTCATTTCAAATATTTTTTTTTAACATGTGTGGCGGATTCGGATATGTATTATTTTTCCATGTACCTGTATCAACTTTCATCACCAAATTAAAAACTGCATGCTGTGAAGACACTTTTTGTTAATTTAAATTAATAAACAATTACCTAGACCATCTTTAATCATTCAAAATGGGGATCTATGAGATATTAAACTGAGAAGAATATGTTTTATTAAAATTCATCAGATATCTACAATGCAAAGGAACATAACATAACCTCTATTCTTAACTTGCTCTGGGGCAGGTTACGTCAAATTTAAGAGACCACAAACAACAGAATAATTGTTCCCCTACAAAACATTATCTCTTATGTTCACATGAGAGCTTTCTAGAGAGAACAGGAGGTTTAGAGATCTACAGAACACTTTATACTTTGCTGATATTATTCTATCTGGAAGAAACTGTCAGCAGGCAGGATATAATTTACATTCACAATCTCTTAATCACAAATATTGTTAATTTTGCTCATCAGAGCTTAGCATTAAAAGAAACTCTGTTCACAGTGCTCAGAGTCTTTGTGACTGGTTCAGTATTTTGCTGTTTTTGTGACTTGCAACTCTTCAGTAATACAATGGTGGTCCCTGCAATAAGGAAAGTGGTGTTTGCACTAAAACAGTTTTTGTATGCATTCCTTATGTTTCCCAGCCTTACATTAGTGAATACCATCAAACAGGGGTTCATGAAATAGCTGGTATTATTCTCATATATAATTATATGCCCTGTAATTGTAGCTGCTGTTTTCTGTAGCACAATCTAAGCATGTCATACAAAATTTCCTAATATAGTTATTGTTCTGTATTGCACAGACATCCCCTTTAAACCCCCAACAGGGCCAAACAAGGCCACATGCACTACACTGTATTGTACAGTATTACTTCTAGTTTCACTACCCTCAATACCTGTATGTTTTACAGATACAAGTAAAGTGGCATGTTACGTTATGTAATTCACTGGCCAAAGATGATTGAGAGGTGGCTCTTGTGGTGCATTAGATGTTAGTGAAACGATTGCTTCATTTAATCTGTTTCTCTACTATGTCCACTTAATGCAGAGTATGAATACGGAATTTTACAACTAAAGAGAAATTGTTATCTGAGATTAAAAATGGAAGTATAACGTAATATATACCTAATGTAGCTAATGTCATGCAAATTTCCGCAACAAGTAATCATGAAACTATTTAATTTTGAAATTCAATTAAGTAAAACATATTTAACACATTCTGTACTGTAGTGGCATTAAAGCCACTCATAGATGATATATACTTGTAGTACATACAGTAAATGGTAGTGGTAGCCAAATATAATAAACAAAGTACACAACAGTATTCCACCATCTTCATAAACATTTTATGCATTAAAGTCTTTAACTTAGTAACTTATGGGGTTATTTTGGAAACGTTTTGACGTGCTTTTTCTAACTAAAGTTTATATACTTCATAAAACGCTATAAAATTTTGGCACCTAATAATATCACTTGTGGTTATTGGAAACATTTTGATGTTCATTTTATTGTTCTTGTAGTAGTAATGGAAAATGAAACACTCATAGACTGTAATATAGCATGCTGTACCCAAGCAATAGTTTAACAAAGTGTTTTAGATGGCTGCTTACTACTGTGAATGTGAGCTGCTCAAATCTCACACTGATTGTTTCTGGTTTGTTGGTTTGTTTTTTAAATTCATGGATAAATAAAAAATAGATTATTATTATAGCTTATTGTAAACATGATGTGTTTCTTTTAGATTTACAACCACATTGAGAAAATCCATATTTTGTCTTAAAGCAAATTTCAGCAATGAGTAATTCAGCAAACAATCTAACTTTAAATTTTGAAATATTACTTTCTAGTGATTTGTGTCTATGAAACGTCAGGAGACCTGTTTTGTTCTGATTATACTGTGAATTAGTCCCTGAGGCATTTCAAAATTATAAAAAAAAATTGATTTCACACCACAGAAAGGGGTAGCTTTTGAGACGTTCAAGTAGGTACAGTGTATATAAAAAGTCTAAAAAGTCTAAAAACACAGGTTTTTGTGTGTGACCTTGCAACCAACAACATTCAAGAGATGTGTGCTTTGGGTCATTATCATGTTAGAAGGTGAAATTCCTCTTCATCTTCAGCTTTCTGACAGAGGGAAGCATGTTTTGTGTCAAAATATCTTGATATTTGGAGCTAGTCATTATCCCATCTATCTTGACTAAAGCCCCTGTCCCAGCTGAAGAGAAGCAGCCCCATAGCATGATGCTTCCATCACCATGCTTCACAGTAGGTATGGTGTTCTTTGGATGTTTGGCTGTATTGTCTTTGCACCAAACATATCTTTTAGAATCAAGGCCAAAAAGTTCAGCCTTTGTATCATCAGACCATAAGACATTTTCCCACATGTTTTAGGGTGATTGAATGTATTTTTTGGCCAAATTTAGATGAGTTTGCATGTTCTTTTTTGTGAGAAATGCCTCCGTCTTGCCACCCTAAGCCATAACCCAGACATGTGCAGAATACGGGAGATTGTTGTCACATGCAAGGTGTGACCAATACCTGCCAAAAATTCCTGCAGCTCCTTAAGTTTTGCTGTAGGCCTCTTGGTAGCCTCCCTGATGGCAGGTGTATGCGAATTACCTTTGGACATGATTTGAATGTGAACTCTGAATGTGGTTAACTCTGAAAACAGCTACAGCCCCTATTATAAAAGGGTGTGCTCACTTATGCAACCACAGTGTTGTAGGTTTTTTCATTTCAATTATTTTTCCTAATATTTATCTATTTGTTTTTCTCTTGAATTTTGTTGGTTGCAAGGTCACATTAAAGATGGAAAAATGACGGACATGATTTATCTTGATTTCTGGCTTTACATTACAAAAACCTGCTATTTCAATAAGGGTGTGTTCACTTTTTATATCCACTGTATCTGAGTCGGTATAAGTAGGCTGCAAAGTAACTAGTAAAAGCAAAGAAGAGAAAATGAACACAATATTTCAGCCGTGGAGCCTTCTTCAGGTGTAACTTTTGAGAAGTTGTGTATTGCTTGCAAAGTAGCTGATTTTGACAAGAAATAAAGTTATTTTTGCTTGAAGAATTTAAAATCTGTCTGCCTGACTTTATGGTTGCTTTCATTTCATTGAGCAGAAAACCACCTTGCTCTTTCAAGCGGCTATGTTAGCAGAAGGGATTTTGTTAACACAATGCACCCTTTTGACTGAATTTCTATCACCTTTATCACCTTTGATAAAGGGGGGTGAGAGTTGGGGCTGAAGTTATTGTCTCCCTTCCTAAATTTAACAAACGATATGTCCCCAGTAAACCAAGAAACTAAATAAACCTGCTATCGATAAAATATCTACCTTGCAACATTGCTTGCAATTGTTGTTTTTCACTTAATTTGTGGCATACTTAGAATAGTAAAAAAAAGGGTAATACTGCAAGGTGTTGGAGCTTATTTTACTGAATTTAACTCTCTTGTCTGAAAAGGCTTTGGAGCAGTTTATA